TTTTTCTTTTTTTGATTGGTTGACTGATTGATTGATTGATTGATTGATTGATTGATTGATTGATTGGCGGGGGAGGGGTTCGCCCCCGCCCCCCCGCCCACTCACACACACACACACACACACACACACACAGGGTTGTAGAATAAAATGTTCTATTTTCTATTTTTTTAAATTTTTCTATTAAAATAAAAATCAAAATAAGAGAAAAAAAATGGGCGTGTAGAGTTTTTCAAACACCAGATGCCCATTTTTATTTTTTTTTCATCCATAAAAAAAGGAAGAAAAAAAAAAAAAAACCCTGACGCCAATTTATTTTTTTTTTGTTCAACGGCATAGGGTGCCATAGGGTGCAGTTCCTAATGACATCTGGATAGAACTGTCTGGTGGCTATATATATATGGGGCCTGTAGTTCATTGTCTCGGCCAGACGTCTGAAGTTCCCATTCGACAAAGTTCGTCCGATCTTGCTTCCACCAGGGTTGGGCAATCTATCAGTCCTGGTGCCCATCACTGCTGTTCGGTCCAAGTTGCCTGCCCGTTGGTAGGGCAATGGTCATGAGTGCTGGTCACACTGAGGTAGAATAGTGGGATAGGGGGTGCACTAGGAGTATTGAGGTGAGGATGGGTTGAGAGGTGGTCTCATATTCTAGGACACCCACGGCTCACAGTTTAAGGTGATCACTGTGCACACACTAACTGACCTCTACAACACCCTGGAGCATGGTCCCACGAGCAACGAGATAGGATAGAAAGTAGTTTGTGTGGCAGTTGAGTGACCCAAATCCTACCGTGCAGTACGCGTGATCCCACGGTCAGTATTTTACATGTATTACCCGAAAAAGTCAGGAGATCTTGGTTCCTCTCCACCTCTCCTGAAACCACCTGTACTTGGCCCAGCTATGAAGTCCGAGCCTTGGTCGACTGGTATGTCGAGCCGTGCCGACGCTCAAACTACCGGTTCTTCAGTTCCCAGGCCTAGTGCGAGAAAAAAATGGGAAAAAAAAATTAAAAAAGAAAAAAGAAAAAAAATTGAAAAAGTAAAAAAAAAAAAAAAGCAAAAGGAAACAAAAATAGAAAAAGCAAAAGAAAAAAAAAAAGCTTTCATTTGTGTTGGCGCCACAGAGAGGGCGAGAGAGAGAGAGAGTGGCAGCGTAGTCACCCGGGCCCAACAACCATCTCGCCAGTTCTCTCTCTCTCTCTCTCTCTCTCTCTCTCTCTCTCTCTCTCTCTCTGTATGACGGGAACGAACCTTCCCGGCCAGACATGAAGATTCATTCCCGTCATACACACACACACATATATATATATATATATATATATATGAGTCGGTGAAACTCCGACGAAACAGTTTGTCACAGCCCCTCGTTTGTTGTCCTCTTCTCCCTCTCTGCCTACGGTTTACCGGGCAGTTCTATTTGACGATATATATATATATATATAGAGAGAGAGAAAGAGAGAGTGGCGGCGATGTCACCGTTGGGCCCCGGCGACTTTGCCGCCACTCTCTCTCTCTCTCTCTCCCTCTCTCTCTCTCTTTGTGTGTGGGTATGACGGGAATGAATCTTCCCGGCCAAGCGGGAAGATTCATTCCCGTCATACCCACACACACACACACACACACACACAGAAAGAGAGAAAGAGAAAGAGATAGAGAAAGAGAGAGAGAGAGAGAGAGAGAGAAAGAGAGAGAGAGAG